CGCCCAACTCAAATTGATCAAAGATATTTCTCGTATTGCCAGGGGATCAGGGATACAAAACAGTGAACCTTTTTTCTTTTCGAAAGCCGTTTCTCTTTTCCAAGATATCGTGCGTCTATAGAAGCTACGAAGTTATGAAGGAAGAAGACTGGTAATCCGACGGCCAGCGAGACCATACGATCTCCCCTAAAACGCGTTTTGTGTGCGATTGCGTCAATATCTCGTACCTCACGACGCTTTACTTGAATAGCACTTTGGTATTCTTTATAAATGTTTGGTTAGAACGCGTGATTTTTGCACTGCTGTACCGGAATGGTCTTAGATGGTTGTCTATCCAACCTGCCGCTTTTTTAGCTTAGTTTTTTCGAGGTAACCAATTGAATTATCGTACTAATTCATTACAGAATTACAACGAATGGTCTTGTTTTGTTAAAAACGACATGACAAAGGCCAGTCAGGTTATTTATGATCCCGGTGCACCGCTGCCCAAGGCTGACGATTCAAACCAACTAGTAATTCTCCCTGGTCAGTCCAACATTTCATTATACTTGATATCTTCCAATCTATACCATGGACTATGAAGTCCTTAACTCCATCGTACTCTTACCGTATACATGCAGCATTGGATATTAAGTGTAAAAACTGTAGTATCTGTCGTTTGCACAATACCGCCTTTAGTTTTCTGATTTAAAGGTGTATTTTGCTGAACTTCATTTTGTCCATTTGAATCGGCGAGTCAAAATGTTCCGTCCCCCTAGTCTTTGAAAAACCGTTGAGTTTTTTTGGCAAAATAATGGTTCTCCGAGAACTGTTCTAGTCGGGTCCGTAGTAATCTTCCTTGGACAGTTTTTTCTCAAATCTCCAATGACTGGAGAACAGAAATGAAAAGGTAGTCACTTTATGTTTAGGCAAGAAGCGAAAAGTACACGATGATGGTCCTTTGCCGAAGAAAAAGAGTGCCACTGGTGGAAAGAAGGGTAAAAACTTCGCCAAAGAAAAGGAAAAGCAAAAGGTTACGAAGAAGATGAAGAGACAGTTGGCTGCCGTCCAACAGCGAAAGGCAAACAAACTAACGGTTTGTTAAGCATTTCTGGTTCACATGTTTTCCTACTTGAATCGGTTAGGACTTGCCGGTTTCTCCTTACGAGTTATATCGGAATCTTTTCTCCTTATGAGTTATATCGGAATCTGTGCGCACACAGGGTCAGGCACGTCGATGAATGTCCGAGGGGGTCGTTTTGGTTGCTGGGAGGAGATCCGCTGACGATTCTTTTAACCACCGAATGTTTCTTTTGCAGACGGCGCATCCTTTTCTTGTCAACCCCTCACGCTCGAGCAAACAGATTTTGGAAGGGGGTCCCACTTCGGTGGAGATAAAGGGGTCGTATTGAAGAAAAAATTTCCTCGACGCTAATGACAAATTGGAGGGCGAAATTGTCAGTTCCTTTCACACTACTATACATTCCTTCAGCAAGAGGAGCTGTTCGCAAGTCTGGCAGAATACCAATTGGATTCGAAAAAGCTGAGTCAGCTTGCTTCATCTAGTCATATGCAGGACAAAATGAAGAGGTTCGTTATCTTTTCTGTTGCTCAAGGACCCCAAGAGCCATTGGCCTTACTAGGGCGTATGTACTAGTTTTTGCTCAAAAAAACGGTGAGCGTGGAATCACAGAAGTTAATGGTGTTGTAACATGTTGCATAACATGTAATAAAAAAAGTAAAGTAATAGTGGACTAAATAATTGGGGCGTAGGCGTAGAGTGCCACAGCTCTTTTGTAGTGTTTACGCGAAGAAGGCGGCGAAGATGACATAGTAAGCGGCGCGTGCGACATTCGCACCAGGGTCTAGTTGATCTTGGGTGGAAGTGTTAATGTCAAGTCTACGAACTAGGAAATATCAGCTACTTTTTGTCCTTAGCCGCAATATGGATGTAATGTCTTGCCCAAGGTGCTTCGTCCCCAAGTTTAGGCTTTAGAATGGTTGAAGTAGTACTGCCCAGCTCTTGAAGAAAGCGGATCACTCCTCATCAACTTGATTACGTGGTTAAGAGAAAGACAGACCAGAAAACGCTGTGATGGGTGTAGGGAAATACTGGCTCGGTTTGAATTTGCCGTTTTCTGAGCAGTGCTCCACAGCTTTCCGTTATAAAACTAAGTCAAATTGCGTCAGTTGGGAAAAGTTGGTGGATCAGTTAATCACCGCGATAGTAAATTTGCACGAACCGGCCGAAGTTGTAGTACGAAAAGAGACCTTCTCCAAGATTTTCCTCAAAGAGCGTGCCTCCGTAGCTGTTAAGAATATGAGCTCTAGGATATAACGAGCTCATCTTTTCCTCGAAGTTTTATCATCCTTTACATTTTCTTGTGAGCAGAACCGGAAGGTGGATCCCAAGGAATTTGCCCATTCTTGATTCCCCAGTTACAGCTAAAGCAGTCGATCGATCAGTCATTTCCAGTGTATTAGCTCTAATAGTTAAAAGGAAGTGTCAATTTGTCAATTGCTGTTTCAGTGCCCATACCAGCAATGATGACGATGTTGACAGTTTTCCAAGTCGAATAAAGGTGTGCTCATCGAAAGTAAAACTTCCTGCAACTATTCATCAAAAGGAACGTGTTCAAGAAAATTATTATCCTACTGACGATGAGGATTCTGATGGTAGCGAAGATGATGACAATGAAGTTGTGGTACGTTCTTGAAGCAGTTCCTTTATGTCAACAGTCTTTTGTTTCACGTCGAACAGGATCAACGCTTTTCGTTATGGTGGGACGCGGGGTTTGTGTTTCACGTCGAAAGAAGCGATACTTTCGTTGGGGTGCGACACGGGAGGGGGAGGGGCAGAAAGACGTTCTTTTTTGCAGAAGGACGCCTATAAATAATGTTTCATTTACTTTTTTTACATCCTCATAGCCACTTTATTCTCAGCTATGGGGAGCGTTCTGCTCTGTCGTTGGCCATTTGGTAGCATTGCTCAGGGTGGAAAGCTTTAAGGGAAGCTTTCCGAAGAGGTGGAGCGTTGAGCAGGTTTTTGGTACGATTTCCCCGCGGCTGCCCATTTTTCAAGGTTTGAGTCCATTCCCAGAGCACAAATACCATGTGCTCATTTTGCATGAATATGTTCCCTGCTCATCGTTGGGCTCCCGGACCCATAGTTTGTCATGATTTTGGCGCTGGAGCGTCAAGCCAGCCTTCACCTCAAGCCCTGTCGGGCCCAACCAAATGTCTTTCTAGCGTGAGCGCCAGAAGATTACTATTCATGCGGAATCTGAGCGATATCTGTGCTCAAAGGGGAGCTGTAAAACTCGCCCGTGTCTGAATTTTCAGCCTGGTCTTACTTCAGGGACAAATGTTGAGAAAGCCAGAGCTTTCCAAAGTTCCAAAACCGGAGACGTGAAGGGCGCGTTGCGGTAATATCGTAAATACAAAGTTTCAGAGGTAGTGCATTATTAAATACAAATTTTACAGAGGTAGTGGATGTTTACGGAAGAGTAGGTTGAGGGGATTTCTGGTTGTCCTCATAGATAGGGGCCGAGGGTCCAAGAATTCCAATTCGGTTTCCCTATTGCTATTAAGAGGCCACTAGAAGAATGTAGAGTTGATAAAAGAATGTAGGGGGAGAAGGCTGGGAGCCAAATCTGAACCTCATGCTTACCGGGCTAATATGTTAACAATGGGCTCGTTCAGTTCAAGCAGGGTTGCCCGGTCCCTGGGATAAAATTGATTTGTTTCAAAGTGATTGTATTTTTTCATTTGTTTTCTCTATCAGGTTTGTGATGAAACGCCGTCGTCATCCTCCACCCAGTTAGCAACCTCTGGAAACAGAAGTAGCTGAAGTAAAGGTAGAACCCGACGTGGAAGAGAAGGGAAGTGCCTCTGTCGCTGCAGATCAGAACTCCTCAGTTTCAGCACAGGTACAAAAAAGTTGACTTACGTAAAGAGCTCGTTCATTATGAATTGTACCCTTGACACTATCACTTCTTTGCAGGATTAGTTTGCCATCTGGCTCAGAAGAACCCGGCACATGTTCGAAGGCCAATAATGAAGGTGCTCCGATTCCCGCACAGGTGATCGATGTTGTTTACTTGCATCTTTTACTTAATATTTCTTCCTGTTCCTCTTTCGTCACAGCTTGGCCTGTGAAGACCTGAAACCAAAGTGGCTCACCTGCGAGATGTTGCAGCTTCACAGAAGTCAACAGGTCTCACTTTCG